AAATAAAATTTGAAGATCGCAAAAGTAACTTACATTTCCGACTGCAACTTGGTCATATCACTTCTCAACTCATCATTCTCCGTACCAAGCCGAGCATTCTCTCCTTCCAACAATTTCAATCTTCTTTCATAAAGATTCTAAAGACGAAGTGGTTTCAGTAAACATGAACACTTAAAACATCAACGCATTCCGAGTTTCGTCATCCTTTTCTCAGAATTTGCCATCAACGAGCCACATAAACAGAGATCTATCTAGGTGATAGCTTTCTAGGAGATATATAAATTTTCAAATAATATCACTTTGTCCAACAAAACTGTATAGTTTAAAATAAAAGGGTTTGAAAATGACCTGAAAAAATCTGAAAAAAAATTAGGTCCATAATAATTTTTTTTCAGATTTTCTTTTTTTCCAGATTAAAGTCAAGGAAAGGAAAGGACAAACTTCGATGCTAACTATTTGTTCCTCATGTTTTGTACGCCATTCCGCTCTCTCCTCATCTTGGCGCTCTTTCAGTCTCACCAATTCCTTTTGCTGCTGGTCCAAACTATTCTGTAAGTCGACCATTTGTGACTGCAAAATCTTTGATACATTTCAAATTCTAATTAGACTACCATTCCTATCGCTGATGTTTTCGAATAAGCGCTATATTCAGGAATACACAGAAAGTTTAGTCCCAAAAGTATCATTTTTTGGATCTTCAGAACTGGTGGATCGACATCATTAATAAACAAGTCATGACATAATTTATTGTAAAATAGCTGCCCCTGTGATCAACAAAAATCCAGTGTATTCATGATTAAATTATCTCAAATTGTACGCAAATGGTGAATATTCACAAATCGGTTTTAATTCATCACATAGGTTATTAGATATTCACCTTGTATCTTTAAACACGTTAGTCTTTGGTTCTTCGAATTTGTGCAATTCTAATGTGCAAACTGTGCAAAATTCTAATGTGTAAATTTGAGGTGACTGCCTTCTTAATTTATCTACGCACTCATAGTCTAATTTATCTTCGAAAAGATGACAATTTTTTAATTTGTGCCTGAACATTATCAGGTACACATTAAAACTATTGGGTAACAATGACCTGTTTTTGATACCATTCAAATTTTCCTTGAAGTACTCAGTATCATCGAAAACAGTACAAACCTTCCAATACTCAACCGTCTGTTGACGTTTTTTCTCCTCTGAGTCAACCATTTCTGCATAGCGCACGTTTACTTTTTGCAACTCAGAGGTTAATCGTGCTACCTCTTCACTCTCAGTTTTTGACTCCTGCGATGCAAGTTTTGTTTGTAATGTTTCACGTAGTAAACGTTCGCTTGACAAATCTTGATGAGCGCGCTCTACTGTTGCTTCCATTTCTTTTCGAACTGCAATTGGCATTTTGATCTGTAGAATACAATATTTCCAGAAAAAACGATTAACAATAGTTTTGAAGGAACTCTAGAAATCTGATCATGAAGCGGAGCTTATGATAGGATGTCGAACACAAAACACCCAGAATATGCTTAAATTGAAAAGAATTTCTTGAAGGAAATAAGGATTATAAGTTGATTTCATTAAAAAAATTTGATGAAATAAACCTCACTGTCGTTAATTCGTCTCTTTCATTTGTTGGTTAGTTCGTAGTAACACAATAAGAACTGCTAAAATTTCTAATTCTTTTCAAAATTTGGAAATTTTTTGTAAAACTAACCATTTTCGAGCTTTCGAAGTTCCAATTTAAAAGCATCCAGTTTTTGCTGCAATTGAAAGAGTTCTGATTCACGTTCCTTGACTAATTTTTCTGAACGCTTCAGTTTATCTCGTTCATCCAGTAATGCTGTATTAAGCTGCAAATAGAAGAAAATTAGATCATGCATTCTAAAAAAGGAAAAAAAACCTTGAATAATTGATCGGGTTGAAATCTATCACTAATTCAAGGAGAGATAATCGCATCAGAATACCTACTTCATCGTAATCTTGTTTAGCCAAATCCCGATGTTTCACAGCTTCTTTCAATTCTCTTGTTTGTATTGTCAATCTCTCAAATGTTTCCTCCAAATCCTGGAAATAAATTATATGTAGTATTGAAAACAGATGGAACCACACAAAGCTTGCAAGCAGAAAAAGAAAAAAAGAAAAAAATGGACATCTTTTAATAAAAAAGAATGGAATGTTCAGAGAATAATTCAGACAATCAAGTTTTTGCATAGCATTAAGAAAGCTATCGTACGGAGTTATTTCAAAATCCGACATGGATATAGTTGAGATGTCCAGATTAGATTATGAACTTAAAGAAACTAATATTCCGAAGCAAATTAACAAAAAATACTCGTTGTAAATCTTGCTTATCCAAAATTAATTGTCGATTCTTCTCTTTCAGTTCTTTCATTTTCTTTTCCAATTCTTCTTGATTTGAATCTTTTGCAGGCCTCAGCGATGAACTGTTTTCTTCTGCTAAGCGTTTTTTCAAGATCTATAATTAAGTAAAAACAATAATATTTACATGCAATCCTCAAATTTTGCAGATTTAAATTTGTCTGAGAACATTTTCAATCACTTTTGAATTATTAAAATTAATTTCCTGAAACAACAAACAAACATACAAAAAACTATTATAACAAATAAGCACCTGAACTTCATCCTTTAACTGAGCTATGGTTTGTTCGTATTTAGCTGAATCATTCGTTGTCTCACCGTCAGGAGACGAACCATGAAAACGTGTTTGTATCAGATGATTTGCCTCTACAAATCAAAAATTTTAATTTATTTTCAATTAGAAACAATTTTTACATAATTTAAGAAAATTTTTACATAATTAAAAGATTTTTAATTAGTAACTAACAAGAAAAGACCAACAGAGGAGTATTTATATCTTAATTAGCTGCCTTAAAAGAATATTAGAAGGATTAACAAACCTTGAAATTTCCGAGAAAGTTCCGTTCTTTCCTGCTCAAGTCTTTGTATTCTCCTTTCGTATGCTTCAGCTGTTAGGGCTGGCAATGAATCAGCACTTGAATCTAATCCTGATAACGACAAGCTCTTGCAATCCGACATCATGCTACAACATGTTAATAAGTGCACACTTGTAGTGTATATTCATGATCACAATGCCTTATGCAAATTGTTAGCAAAGAAAATGCGACATTTTAAATGATGGTATTAAAAAACACAAATATACCTGTCGTGAGTATAAGTAAATCCTATAAAAGGCAAATGATGACCAGTAAACGGTGCAGTAACATTGGGTGGTTTCGTGTCCTACAAAAAATTTAAATTTTGAATACTAAAGAATCTATAATCGAGTTACGTCAAAAAAGTAATTAACTGTGGATTAGAAATTAAATATCCTAAATCATAAAAAACGTGGAGGTTCAATTGTAAGAACAATACTTTTAATGCATAAAAAACTTGCACAAGGTGTGAAGTCCGGTGAACATGCTTCCACATCGAAATTTGATGTATCTGTGGGACTTGATACTTCCGGGCGATAAGGAGTATCCACTATAAATAATGCTTAATTGCTTGATAGGAGTTAATTTAACTGTCCTAGGCTAAGGAAAAAACGAAACAGTAAAGAAGAAGCTTCTTTCTATAACTTACGAGACATGAAATGAGACTAAGCATCTCATAGTGATAATCAATACCATTAATGATCGATTGAAGGCCAAAACCGTTTGTTTTATCAAAAGGAGAAACATACAAACAGAAAAAAAATTCTTCGGGAAAAAAACTGTTCAACTAAATACAAATTTCTAAAGTTTTAATTAAAAACAGATAATACAAAGCAAGTATAACACTTACTTTCACGTATAGCATCCCAATCGATACCTTCAAAGAATGGATGCGATGCAAAATCAACAAAACCATTTTGGCCAAGACGTGTTTCACGTGGACAAATTAGTCGCTTCATTAAATCTCTCGCTTCTTCCGAAATATCAATATCATCCGGAAAATCTAACATTTCCTAAATATGAAAAAAACATATGAATTCTAAATACAAAAAATTGGAAAAGAAAATTACTTAATTAACTACATTCTGCAAAATTCATCCTTATTTTCGAAAAAATAAATGTTTTTAGGAGCTAAAAAGAGGGGCTAAAACTTTTTGGGTGACATAAAAAGATAATAAGGGGAACGGAAACGGTGACATGAAGAAGGACAAAGGTGAGAGCCATACTAATAAATTCAGCAGTTCTATCAATTTCCTAATTCCTAATTCGAAAAGCATAAAAATATTATTCTTAGTGAATCGAAATAGCTCTATTATAATAGAAATAATTGCTACAAAAGAAATAATTTTAACGAGAGAGTAATTCAATAGTTTTCGTCTTCGTTTTCTCATCATTTATACATTGAATCATAATACAGCAATAGCAAACGGTTTACTGTCATTCAAAAGGATGAAAGAATTCAAAACAAAATTTATGATTATTATCATTACTGTTTTGAATAATCTTCGTCAATGGAAAGATTTGCGTCATTTCAAAATTCTATCAGAAATGATTTTGAAAGGGACAAAATGGTTTAACAAAAACTTCAGGTAAACGACTAAAATACTTCATCAATTTTGGATGAAAGGCGGAGGGGATCCTTCAATCCTCATCCAAAATATCTGTTCAACTCATAAATGATGTTTGGCCATAATAATAATAGTAATAAGAATAATAATTACTATTATCTAATAATTATTATAATAATAATTATTATCGTAATAATTATTATAATAATAATTATCATAAGAAACTGCGTCTGCAATATAACGGAAATATTCGTCTTTTAAAATTTCAACCTTTAAGGCAGATATTTCTGTATAACCTTCAGACGGATAGGCCATAATCATTATGGATGGATTACACGAAAAAAAAATAGACCGTATCGTCGGTAGGTTCATAACTGAGTTGTCTTTTTCTTCTCGGTAAAGCTATGAAAGACAACTCGTTAATCCCGTGCACCAGTCAAGCAGTTTTTTGTAATTTTGGTAATAATTTTCATTTTTTGAATTGCAAAAAAAGAGAAAAACTCTTCTCATGGTAATCGAGGAGGAGCGGGGAGGGGGGGGGGGTCAGTGTACGAATGAACGACATCATCGATACTCAATTCATAACATTTTCAGGATTTGAAAATATAAACGACTACATTTGAGGGCAGACTATAGTTTAAACTCTGAATAGAATCCCAAAGTCAAATTCTCGACCGTACCACATAGGAATGGGTTTGAAAATTTCTCAAAGTCTGAACCCAACAAAATACACATTTAGAGGGCTTAATTAGGTACAAAATTAATTAAATAGTGAGTAAATGGTGAGATTAATTAAATAGTAAAATTAAACAGTAAGTGAAACTCATCTCATTAATGCAATATATATCTGATCTTGAAAAAAAGGAAAAACGAACCTGATGGCTCATAATTTTTCCATATGTTTCCACTAGACTTTCAGCATAAAATGGAGCAACACCATAAAGCATTTCATACATACATATGCCAAGAGACCACCAATCACACTCTGCACCATAACGTCCACGACCATCTTCCATTGCCTACAACTTCCTATTTTATAGAAAAGAAAAAGAAAATTCCAAAATCCTAGCAATCTATTCAAAACTATTCAGATCATAATGACCTGAATTTCAATAATTTTTATTCACAATATATTTGGTAAATTGACAAAATGTTTGTTTTCCCATATTTATAACATCCAGTTATAGGTTATGACAGACAACTTTAAAAGCTCCTTCTTCACATTTCTCGATTTTGAATTTCCAGAATTTTTTTTGAGTTTTATATAATCATCAAAAACTGAAACTGAACTTTTATTGCATATCACTACAAAACTGTTCCGCTCATTGAAGTAATTAGCAGATTTCAATAAAAATAAAACAGCATAGATTATGCGAAATTATTATTTTGTCCTTCGGATCCAGAACCTTTTTCTGTGAATCACGTGGATACCACTATTCCACTCTTATCAGTAAACAATGACTAACTCGTAGTATTTCAGGTGATATATAATCAGGTGTACCGACTGCAACATTAGAATGAACAGTGCCATCGGGAAGTAGTTTCAAGCAACTTCCAAAATCAGCTAAACGAATATGACCATTGATATCCAGTAACACGTTATCCGGCTTAATATCTCTGCAAAGTGAATGTAGATTTAACAGTTTTAAGAAAAATACTACTAAATGTCCCCCTCTGTACCATATCCAGCAGAAGATAACATAATGCAATAAATTATTCCGCAATGTCGTAGAGATTATCGAGTAAATATGAACACCAGCAGAACTTGATTAATAATTTAAAGGCAAGTACATTCTAGATAAGTTGTTACATCGAAATATCTTTAAATCCTCGCAAGAAATTCATAAGAAAACGAGCAAAGCTAGGAGTGATAGAATTTAAAAGCATGATAACAGTAATGAAATGATAAGGATAATAAAAAAATTATTAACCTGTGGACATATCCTAATCGATGAACGGAATCAATAGCAAGTACCATTTCAGCAACATAAAATCGTGCCATATCTTCCGGTATTCGTACTTCAAATTTCGATAACAGTGTTAGTAAATCGCCACCCACATAGTAATCCATTATCAAATACTGCAAAACACATAACTCAAATTTCAATTGAGATATTTAAAAATCTGGTATATAAGCGATTTCTACAACATGCTATCCTCTATTATCAATATCTCTTGTATGTATTTCTATTTACAAATCCTGAAACATATTGTAAAGCATAATGTGTTGAAATAAAATATGAAACACGAAATATCGAAGGGACCGTTCATCATCAAATGGTAATGAAGGCGCAACTGATGGTTAATATAAAGGAATTTTGCTCAAACATGTCATTCTTCTCTAAACTTATGATTAATCATTTGCTTAAATTTGTTTCTATCTAGATCATGAAATTAAACTAACCAAATTTCGTTCATCTTGAAAAGCATAATGCAGATTAGTTATCCATCGGCGATCTCCGTGCACCAAGACATCTCGTTCCTCGCGAAAGCATGCTGTTTCAGCTCGTTTCAACATTTCCCATTTATTCAGTATTTTCATTGCATACACCTGAAGCAAAAAAAAAATGTGTACTTACTGTTTTGTCTCAAATCTTTTTTTTGATCATAGAAAATTTCAGATTTCTAACCGAAATTCCTTTTCAGTTCGACGATGAAATTAATTTCAATGAGGATAAATTTAGTGGATTTCGGCAAAAGATCAAAAAGTAGCAAGATTTTTTGTGTTAATATGTATCAGTTAAAAAAAAGTTAAAAATTTTCTTCTGAAATGAAAAACTGATTCCGAAAAGGCACAGATCTACACTTCATTACACGTTATATGCTGTACCCTCTCGGTATTGCGCATTCGTACAACAGCCACTTCGCCAAATGCACCACGTCCGATTACTTTAAGTACTTCGAAATCTTCTCGACATAACCGTAATGCTTTCGCTTTCACCACCACTGGTTTCACTAAAAGAAAGTTTAGGTCTGATCCTATTAAACCAAAATTCTAAGTCTTTTAAATTATGATTCCATTCAATCATTCATCGCCTTCAGCATTTTGAATTAACATTATCTCGTCAAGCATTTCACTTCACTATACTTTAAAGATATTTCACGTAAGTTCCTCAATTTGATGCCATCCTATACCATGACCTACTGAGGTGCAAACATGTGAAAGAAAGGAATATCATGAAAGTATGCAACATTTCAATTCAGCATTAATTAAAACATCATCAGTGTTTTATCAACCACTGATAAAAACTATTCCAAGAAACTTAAGCAAGAATCTAGAACTTTGCAAATATTGACCGATTTGAAATCAAAACTTCATATCTGTTATTTATATACGGGTCATACCATCAAGATTACAACATAGCTTAACAAATTTTTCCTCCCTGTGGTTCCATCTCGATCAAGAAAATTTCTGGAAGTGCAACCACACATCTGATCTAGTCAGTGATTCGAACTTTCAAAATACAAACTAACCATATTCAACGAAATCGGCGATATTTTTCTCTTTACGTAACGTAGAACTACAGCATTCATCGAATAAACATATGAGAGTATCTAATAATGATTCAATGGAAAGGACATCTTCACTACGCGATACATTCAAATAACACTGTTCCAGCTGTTTCAAACGTGTTGAACCGGCTTCACGTAATGACATTGTTTACGTCAAATTCGAATCCCGTCAAATCACACCTTCCCGTAACACTGTAATAAGTTAATGTAAATAATTAAATTAAAATTTTATAGAATTTCAGAAGAATCATTAACAACATATTACATTTTAACGGAAATTCGATATAATACATCTACAAAAAAAAAAAAAAAAGAAAATCAATTTAGTAACTAGCAGTTACATTACACTTTCTCGTTTTCAAAATAAAATAAAACATTAACTTATCCAGCCGCAGTTAAACATTTCATATATAGTCACAATAAAACTTGCGTTCGATAGAAATAAAGTGTTAGAAATTCTTTATTCGGATATTTATATCGATTATTTAAATATATTATATCTATGGTTACTTAATAAATATTCCGATTTTTATATATTCGACGAAAAAAATGCATTCATCATTTAGTGATAAAATGATATAAACAAAATTTGACAAGAAATTAACAAAATATTTCTTTTTTCACTGTTGTCATATGAAACCCTAAACATCTCTAAACCCTATCACTACTATTATTACTGTCACTTAGTTATCATTAGCTACTTTCTACTGAAGTAAATTTAAATAGTTAAAATTAAGGCTGAGGGAATTTTGCGAATGCATTTCATTGTCTTTATTCTTTGGAATGCTTTCTTTACATTTTTATTTCCTATCTTTTTCCACATTCCTTAGCAATTTTCCCGTTTTTCTTTTCTTTTTTTTAACTGCCTTTTCTTCAATTCGTTATTTGAATCTGCTATTTGGTACTATTAAATTATCTCATAACAATCTGTAACCCCTTGTTTTGCATCTACATATCGTTCTAGTGAATAACTACTATTGTCATTTTTCCGGAATAGTTGTTAAACCGGTTTTATTAAATACTCGGGTTACTGGCACTCTATCTGATATCTACATTCAAAATGTAGCAAAAAAAAAGGAGAAAATAAAAGAAAAAAAAATTCCTAACTAATTAAAATTTACTGTAGGATGTAACAAAAAAGTGAAATAAAGCAAAGTAATCTCTCAAACTATTCGATCGTTATTTAAAAGATAATAATCATAAATAACAAACAGGTATTTAAATATATTACATACATGCAAATAATTTAAACTAATACCGAAATTAAACCTTAAAATATAAAACCAATTGTTGCCATTAACTTCCTACTCATTTTATTCATTTCATAATCTCTATGATCAATTTTAGGCTATACGTAAGAAATTATTATGCAAACAAATATTACTCTACAAACTATAACTAATTAATTATATATCTCTTTCAAATAAGGAAAAAAAAAAGTACGACAAATATTGAAGAAATAAATGATCAAAAAGAAGGAAGAATTGGAAAATATGGAGAAAAAGAGAGAACTTGAAAATAAAGTTAAAATGATTAAAAAAATGAAAAAAAAGAAACATAACCGCCCCAATCTTTCTTAAATTTTATTCCATTCATCATCAAAGTTTTATTTTTAAAAAGAGAAAAAATATGTATATATATATATACACACAACTTATTTTCATAAATTCATATCCATAGAGAATAATGAGGAAGCCAAGTGTCACATCAACAGCAATACAAACCAATACTGATTTATCCATTCCATTGTAGCTTGTTTTTTGAGATCCAACAAAAATGAATGAAAGGAAAGAAAAAAAAATGGAATAAAATATTCTTCCTATCCTTTTCAATGAAAAAGAATACGAAAAAAAAGTTACACGCAAAATATACTTTAAAAAAAAAAATAATTCTTCCGGTTTTTCAATCATAATGGAACGATTTTGAAACATTCCCTCGCCTACTTTCTCATCGTACTATTCCCTTATTTTAGTTCAAATATGATGTATACTATAGAGGAGAAGCAAAAAAAAAAAAGAAAAAGAGAAAAAGAGAAAAGCCGCCAATTCGGATAATATTATCAAATCAAAAATATTGTGAAAATTTGTTCTTCGTTTTTAAAATTTAAGGAAAAAAAGGAAAGAAAAGAAAGTACTAATTTGTCTTCAAAGAGTTTTCCTTTTTCTCCTCTCTCCATCTCTCTCTCTTTTTCCATTTTGTAGCATGTCACAAAATGAAACTGTCTTTACGAATTAAAATGATTGCAAAATTTATCATTAGAATGTGATGGTGGCGTAAACGGTGAACTAGCAACAAATATAAGGAACAGATGAGAAAAAACAATGAAAGGGAACTTCTTATTTTAAAAAAATAAATAAACAAATATATCCATATTTTAATCAAAATATATGTCGAATGAATTAAAAACAAATTAATATAAGAGAAATGAATAAATGACAAATATGACAAGCACAAATTTTTTTTCTTTTCTTTTACAAAAATCCATACAGCTATAAATGTAATTAATTAGCACTACTAAAATAATAAAACAATATTTTAACCAATAACATGATGGATATCAACTTTTTTTTTAATTTCCTTATTTTCGCTACAGTGCTTCATCTATAATTTACATCAACAAGTGAGGCATAAAGTGAAATAAAATGAACGAACTTGAATAGAACATTAATTCTTTGAGAGGAAGAAAAATATATTTAATTAAAAAGAAATATTTAAAAAAAAAAGATGAGTTGTCAAAAACTTTGTTTCCAAATATTCACCACTTACATTCCAATTAAAGTTAATATTTTTTTTCACAATAAAAATTGATATCATTTTCCAGCAAAATAAAGAGCATACATACCAACTGAAGATAAACCTTACAACATAACGATGCATGATTCATAATCTAACTTGATGAAACAATGAATCATAAACCAAAACTAACAATTCGTAATGAAACTTCCTTAGACATAGAAAAGTTTAATTTGAACTCATTTTGAGCTAATAAAGCGGAAAAAAAAAAGAACCATATTACCAAATCATTCAACTTTTATAACCCTAACTAGTCACATTTGGAAGTGCAAACAATGAAAGATACACACATATATACACACACACATACACATTTATATATATATATATGTATATATATGTATATAATATACGTATATACATATATATATATATATTAATTTTTATATATATATATATATATATAATATATATATATATATATATATAT